TTTCCTGTTTCATATATCTGACTGAAGAACTGCAGTAAAAAAAATTCTTCCCATTGTCTCCCAGCAATTTTAAAATTTCTACTGGGATATCATCAGATCCTGTGGCTTTTCTTGTTTTTGCTATTTTTATTGCATGTTCAACCTCCTCCATAGTGATGTTTGGTCAAGTTCTTATACTTCTCATATCTATATCACCCCTAGTGTCCTCAAAGGTTCTCCGATATATTCCTTCCATCTTTTTAGTTTTTCCTCCTCATCTAAGATAATTTCCCCCTCTTTGTCAACTAAGTTCTTTTTGTAGAGGCCTGCTCTGTCTTTCACTTTTTTGTGTAAATTGAAATTTTCATGTATATGTTCTGTCTCTTCTATTTTCTTGCATCTCTTTGCAAACCACTTTTCTTTTGCCAGTCGAATTTTTCTTCTAATAGTTTTCTGGAATTCATTGTATTTTTCTTTGTTTTTATTTTTATAAGATCTTCTTTCATCCATGAGATGAAGAATTTCCTCCGTCATCCACTGTTGTTTCTTGTGGTACCCCTCTCTCTGTTTTGAATTTGTTACCTCTACTATTGCACTTTTAAATTTATTCCAGTTCGCTTCTACATCATCATCATTCAGGTTGTTGGTTTCCCTTAAATGATTTTCTAGTTCAGACATTGGAATTTCATGTAACAACATTGCCCCCCAGTGTCAAAAATGAGGAGATGAAGCATGCTCCTTATTCTCCAAGGAGATTCTTTTGGTGCAGGTGTTTCCTCACAAGGAGAAATGGCAGTTTGGATGTTTAGGAGTTTCACCCTGAAGTTTCATTTCCAGGTTTCTCCCGTGATACTAAAGGGTAATATTCCATTTCATGGTTGTTGTTGTTTTTTCTGAAGATAGATCACCTTATAAACAGAGAAGTTGAAACTGGAATTTTCAAGCCATTTTCATCATCTTACTTTTTTTTCCAGCAAACTATTTAGATGAATAGAAGGAAACAGTCCTAAGCTTCCCACTAGAACAGGGGTAGTCAACCTTGGGTCTTTTATGAATCGTGAACTTCAATTCCCAGAATTCCTAAGCCAGCTGGCTCAGGAATTCTGGGAGTTGGTCCACGAGTCATAAAAGAGCCAAGGTTGACTACCCCTGCACTAGAAGGTGATCAATCTTCATTGGCTAATCAAGGATCTGGGACTCAATTTGTATTTATAATGTTTTCCCTATTTTGCATGTTAGATAAGTATGATAGTAAAATCCCTTCATTTTGTTTTCATTTCAGGGAAATATTTGAAATACCTCGACAACTTGTCTGTGGCAAACACCAATGAAAATTCTCAGCTTCCTGGTGAGCAATATACCTTCCTAAGCTATAAATAAAGGTTTAAATAAAACTACATAATTTATTTTATTGCCAAGGAATTTTCTTCTTTCCCCCAGAGAAATGCTAGTCAGGATCTCTTCAAATTGATTCAAGATCAGATTTTGGGTTTTGCTTGCTATGATGTAAATGTATGGGCTGCTTCTCTATTGGAGAACACAGATCCAAACTTCTATGACTGAATCAATTTGGAGAACTGCTCAAAGGAGGAGAAAGTTCTTGGTAGGCTTCAGATTCACTTCCTCTCGCTGTGTATCTCGCACAGTAATAGACAGCCGTGTCCTCTGGCTTGAGGCTGTTCATTTGCAGATACAGCTGGCTTTTGGCATTGTTCCTAGAGATGGTGAAGCGTCCCTTGACAGATTCTGCATATTCTTGCTTACTGGCATCGTACCAAATAACTGCAACCCACTCCAGTCCTTTTTCTGGAGCTTGTCTCACCCAATGCATGCCATAGTTTCCAAAATTAAAACCGGACCCTTTGCAGAAAAGAAAGAGGGATTGTCCAGGTCTTTTCACATAACTTCCAGATTGTTCCAGCTGAACACTGCATTTAATACCTGGGAAAAAAATAAGTTACATTCATTCATCTTTAGACTGTATGTGTATGCATGTATGCACTTAAGTATAGTCACAGTTGTAATTATAGTTGTACTTGTAGATGTGTAGAGAGAGAGAGAGAGGAAAACATCACCTGGAAACAGAGATGAACTGAAAATTAACTGCAGTAGAAGAATAATACTATGACTCATTTTGGAGGGAAGCAATATGGTTGTTGCTTTGAAAGTGGTCAAAATGATATGTGAGGTAGCTTTTTCTGGAGATTTTTCAGCAGAGAGTTTTAAACAGGAAGCCTTCCCTGAATTTACATAGTAATTATAATAAAGAGAGCAACCCTTCTATATAATCTTAGGAGCTCTTTACTCAGGTTTTGGAAATACAGCTTCCTCTAACATTCAAAATAAAGTTCTAGGGAAGAAACAACTCAGAATATTTTGAAGATCCAAAATGGTTTTCAGATGAAGGTTGAGGGTCTTTCATCATAGTTCCAGGAAAATGTTCTCCATTCGTCCTTGACTCAGGAAAATAACCCTGTCCCCTGGAAGTTGAGTCATGGCACTTGGACCTAAAAAAACAGTGAAATGCTTTAAATCAAAAATCAAAGAACCCCAGAATCCCTCACTCAACATCCTGACAACTCTTACTGGATGACTGAGAATCTTCATTGACTTATCTCCTGGAGTCCCTTTCTTGCCTCAACTTTCCCAGCCATCTCTGTCTCTAAGACCTTTGTCAAGAGTTGTACCAAACTTTTGCAAATGAAGGAAAACATAGGTGTCCCAGATTGGATCCTGCCAGACTTTTCTCCAAAGTAATGGATGGCCCAGTCTGAGTGAACACCCTGGAATTTTCCTTTGCAGAATTTGAAATAAAAAAAGAAAATACTATTTTATCAGCACTATTGCTGAGGACAACTCACATCTGTTTCATTCATAGAGATAGACTGAGATGAAGACAATAAAACAAAGTTGTTTGTCCCATGGGAGTGTGCAGATGGGGAAAAGTCTTACATAGAATAACATAAACGAGCTTCAAAGTTTGTTCCTGGTAAAATTGTTCCTAAGTACAGTTCCATCTCTATGTACACTGGACGCCTTTTGATCACTTCTTATCACTTCATTTGACTTAGCAGGGGGTTGGACTAGAAGACCTTTAGGTCCCTTCTAATTCTATTATTCTGTTCTGTTCTGTTCATTAAACCAGAAACTCAAACCAAATATATTGCATACATAGTCCTTAGAATAGAATATTGTTTTATCTGTATCAAAATAAATATAATAGTCATTATCTCCATTAAAATTATAGACTTCTTTACAACAAATTTTGAGAATATGCTTGTTGTTAATTGCGAAGTCGTGTCCGACCCTTCACGACCCCATGGACAATGTTCCTCTAGGTCTTCCTGTCCTCTACCATCTTCTGGAGTCCATTTAAGTTCATACTTCTGCTTCAGTGACTCCATCCAGCCACCTCATTCTTTGTCGTCCCCTACTTCTATTGCCCTCAATCTTTCCCAGCATTAGGCCCTTCTCCAGTGAGTCCTTCCTTCTCATTAGGTGGCCAAAGTATTTGAGTTTCAACTGGCCTTCTAAAGACCAGTTGGGGTTGATCTCTTCTAGGACTGACCGGTTTGAATGCCTTGCAGTCCAAGGGATTCGCAGGAGTCTTCTCCAGCACCATAATTCAAAGGCCTCAATTCTTTGGCACTCAGCCTTTCTTATGGTCCAACTTTCACATCCATACATTGCAACTGGGAAAACCATGGTCTTGACTATGCACACTTTTGTTGGCAGGGTGATGTCTCTGCTTTTTACTATCCTGTCTAGATTTGCCATAGCTTTCCTCCCCAGGAGCAAGCGTCTTTTAATTTCTTGGCTGCAGTCCCCATCTGAGGTGATCTTGGAGCATAGGAAGATAACATCTGTCACTATCTCCATTTCTTCCCCATCTATTTCCCAGGAATTAAGAGGGACGGATGCCATGATTTTGGTTTTCTTAATGTTGAGTTTCAAGCCAACTTTTGCACTCTCCTTCTTCACTTGCATCGAGAGAGACATGGTTAACTATTAGTACATAGGACAACTGAAAGGATTTCATTTGAGTAAATGTATGTCTTGCTTTGCAATGTGAACATTCTGGGGATAATTTTATTTGCCTGCATACCCAAAGTTTCAGATCTATAAGACGAGGCAGACAGATTTTTTTCCTCAGTTTAATTTCCCTGTGAAGCAAGGTGCTTAGGGATTCCAGTTGTTCTCACCACCAGATGTTAGTGAGAGATAACCCAAGTCAAGACATCCTTCAAAATATTCAGTCAAAGAGAGCTTCTAAGAGGGAAGGTTTACAATGTCCAATATTTACCTCCCTTGGCTCATCCCAGTTGAGGGGATAGAGATTGGATTAAAGAGACTGAATACCATATTAATGTATAAATGTAGAAGAAATCAAAAAGGAGTAACATTCTGTATACAATGGAATTAAACTGAAGAGAGTTATCAATACTGAAAAAAAAAATGGACAGAACTGCAAAACATAAAAAGGATGAATTGTAATCAGAGATTGCCACAAGGCGTTGACACAAAGAAGAGGGAGTCAAGCTATTCTCCAAACCCCCTGAGGGCAGGAGAAGAAGCAATGCATGGAAACTGATCAAAAAGAGAAGCAACCTAGAACAAAGGAGAAACTTGTTGATAGGTAGAACAAGCAATCAGTGGAACAACCTGCCTCCAGAAGTTGAGAATGCTCCAACACTGGATGTTTTCAAGAAGAGACTGGACAACTGTTTGTCTGAAATGGTATAGGGTTTCTTGTCTGATTAGGAGGTTGGACTAGAAGACCTCCAAGGTCCCTTCCAACTCTGTTATTCTACTCTATTCTGTAGGACATCAATCCATGTTTCTACCTTTAAATAAATTTAAACTTTTTAAAAAGTACCCGGTTTCAAATACTGACCGCAGATTGTTTCTTTTCTCCCTACCAAACTGTCAACCAGGTTCCACACTGCATATTCCAAGGCCAGTCCTGCACTTCCACTTGCCATCATGGAGATTTATTGGCTGCTCCAATTATACAAATTTAGCTCTCTGTAAGGAACTCAATTTGAATAGCTGCTCTGATGAGAAGGTTTTTGCTTGGCCTCAGATTCACTTCCTCTCACTGTGTCTCTAGCACAGTAATAAACTGCCGTGTCTTCCAGTTTCAGACTGTCCATTTGCAAATACAGCTGGCTTCGGGAATCATCCCTGGAGATGGTGAAGCGTCCCTTGACTCCGTCCGAGTAGCGTATTGGAGATGAAGATGTACCGATCTCTGCCACCCATTCCAGTCCTTTTCCTGGAGCCTGTCTCACCCAGTCCATGTAATAGCTGCTGAAGGTGAATCCAGAGGCTTGGCAGGAGAGACGGATGGACCCTCCAGGTCTTCTCACACCCCCTCCAGATTCCACCAACTGGATCTCAGATTGAACACCTAAAAAGAAAGGTGTATCAATAAACTCTCCAGTATACAAGAATTAAAAACTGAATACCTAGAGAGGAAACAATTACCTCTGAGGAATGCTAATAGGGATACCATGTTTAGCCACAGAGTCATATTTGCACCCTGTAAACTATTGAGAGGAGCTGATAGGATAGAATTCAGTAAAATGCACAACTTTGTGTTGCTGGGTGTAGCCTTAAAAGGAAAAGCAACTGGCTCCTTTAAAGGGGAAATTGTGACTCGATTTACATATTGGTTGAGATAAAAGTGTTCCTCAGTGAATTCACCTTATAGTTTCCTTGCCCAATACCCTACAATGTTGGTTTTTGCATAACTTTTCAATTTTAAGAAAAGTGAAAGCAACCTTTACGTTAAAATAATTTTAAAAAATGCAAAATAAAGTAAATTGCACTATTCTATAAAGTCGCCAAGAGTTGCACATGACTAAATGGTTAAAACAACAACAATTAAAACAAAGACTTGGAACATGTCATCACCTATGAAAAGTGATTCAAGATTACAGATTATGAACGTGCACTGAGAATTTTTGAAGGAGACATGTTAGAGACAGAACATGAGAAGAACAGCTCATCTAAGATTAGAAAAGATTTTACATCCCCCCCTTAATAGGTCTTTTTGAGAAAAAAAAACATAAAAGAATGCTGCATAGGTCAAGACACAAGGCACAACTTATAAGTTAGGCCTCAGTTGGAGAAATGGAAAAAGGCCGGTTTCAGCCTGTAGGATATTCTCTGCTTATTAAATTGGGTTTTAATTTGACAATTGTATAAATATTTGTTGTGGTTGCTATTTTGTCATTTTGTGTGGTGTTTTCATCAGTAGTTAGTTGGTCCGAGTTGATTTGCCAGATGGGCAATCATACACATTGAAACAACAACAACAATAACAATAATAATGGCAAGAATAATAGTAATAGCAATTGTAATAAAAATGTCACCAAAAACATTTTCTGCGGATTGAAAAATACTAATAAACCATTTGTATTCCTAAAAACAATTCAGTTTTGCTTTTTATATTTTATAAAACACAGCTGCTCAATGTGATATGTCTTAACCCTGAGTGTGTATATACATATTTGTTCTATTCCCTTCCCCACCCCCACCAGGTGCACAGAAATTGGAATTTCATGTAACAGCATTGCCCCCCAGTGTCAAAAATGAGGATGTGAAGCATATTCCTAGTTCTCCAAGGAGATTCTTTTGGAGCAGGTGTTTCCTCAATAGAAGTTTGGATGTTTAGAAGTTTCGCTCTAAAGTTTCATTTTGTCTTCTGCCATGATACTAAAGACAATATTCCATTTCATGTTATTTTTTTCCCCTGAAGATAGATCACCTTGTAAATAGGAAAGATGAAACTGGAATTTTCAAGCCATTTTCATCATCTTACATTTTCTTCCAGCAAACTATTTAGATGAATAGAAGAAAAGGATCCTAAGCATCCCACTAGAACAGGGGTCCTCAAATGTGGTCTTTTTATGACTCGTGGACTTCAAATCCCACAATTCCTCAGCCAGGCATGCTGGCGGAGGAATTCTGGGAGTTGAAGTCCACGAGTCATAAAAGAGCCAAGATTGACTACCCCTGCACTAGAAGGTGATCAATTTTCATTGGCTAATCAAAGACCTGGGACTCAATTTATACTTAAAATGTTTTCCCTGTTTTGCATGTTAGGTGAGTATGATAATAAAATCCCTTCATTTTGTTTTCATTTCAGGGAAATATTTGAAATATCTTGACAACTTGTCACCTGGTAACAGGGATGAGCTGAAAATTAACTGCAGTGAAAGTATAATATTACTATTCATTTCTGGGGAGGCAATATGGCTGTTGCCTGCAAAATGTTCCAAATGACACAGGGTGTAGCTTTTTCTGGAGATTTTTGAGCAAAGACTTTTAAACAGGAAGCCTTCCCTGAATTTACATAGTGATTATAATAAAGAGGGCAACCCTTCTATATAATGTTAGCAGCTCTTTACTCAAGTGTTGGAAATACAGCTTCCTCTAACATTCAAAATAAAGTTCTGGGGAAGAAACAACTCAGAATATTTTGAAGGTCCAAAATGGTTTTCAAATGAAGGTTGAGGGCCTTTCATCATAGTTCCAGGGAAATGTTCTCCATTTCTCCTTGACTCAGGAAAATATTCCTGTCCCCTGGAAGTTGAATCACAGCACTTTGACATGAAGAAGCAGTGAAAGGTTTTAAGTCAAAAAGAAAAGAAGTCCAGATGCCATTACTCAACATCCTGACAACTCTTACTGGATGACTGAGAATCTTCATTGACATATCTCCTGGACTCCATTTCTTGCCTCAACTTTCCCAGCCATTTATGTCTCTAAGACCTTCGTCAAGAGTTGTGCCAAACTTTTGCAAATGAAGGCAAATATAGGTGTCCAAGATTGGATCCTACCAGACTTTTCTCCAAAGTAATGGATGGCCAAGTCTGAGTGAACACCCTGGGATTTTCCTTTGCAGAATTTGAAATAAAAAAGAAAATACTATTTTAACACCATTATTGCTGAGGACAACTCACATCTGTCTCATTCACAGAAATAGGCTGAGATGAAGACAGTTAAAAAAAAAAAAAGGTTGTTTGTCCCATGGAAGTGTGCAGATAGGGAAAAGTCCTACATAGAATAACATAAACGAGCTTCAAAGTTTGTCCCTGGTAAAATTGTTCCTAAGTACAATTCCATCACTATGTACACTGGACGTCTTTTGATCACTTCTTATCACTTCATTTGACTTAGCAGGAGGTTGGACTAGAAGACCTTCAGGTCCCTTCCAATTCTATTGTTCTGTTCTGTTCTGTTCTGTCCATTAAACCAGAAACCCAAACCAAATATATCGCGTACATAGTCCTTAGAATAGAATATTGTTATATCTGTATCAAAATAAATATAATAGTCATTATCTCCATTAAAATTATAGACTTCTTTACAACAAATTTTGAGAATATGTTGTTAATTGCGAAGTCGTGTCCGACCCTTCACGACCCCATGGACAATGTTCCTCTAGGTCTTCCTGTCCTCTACCATCTTCTGGAGTCCATTTAAGTTCATACCTTCTGCTTCAGTGACTCCATCCAGCCACCTCATTCTTTGTCGTCCCCTACTTCTATTGCCCTCAATCTTTCCCAGCATTAGGCCCTTCTCCAGTGAGTCCTTCCTTCTCATTAGGTGGCCAAAGTATTTGAGTTTCAACTGGCCTTCTAAAGACCAGTTGGGGTTGATCTCTTCTAGGACTCACTGATCTGAATGCCTTGCAGTCCAAGGAACTCGCAGGAGTCTTCTCCAGCACCATAGTTCAAAAGCCTCAATTCTTTGTCGCTCAGCCTTTCTTATGGTCCAACTTTCACATCCATACATTGCAACTGGGAAAATCATGGCCTTGACTATATACACTTTTGTTGGCAGAGTGATGTCTCTGCTTTTTAGAATCCTGTCTAGATTTGTATAGCTTTTCTCCCCAGGAGCAAGCGTCTTTCAATTTCTTGGCTGCAGTCCCCATCTGAAGTGATCTTGGAGCACAGGAAGATAACATCTGTCACTATCTCCATTTCTTCCCCATCTATTTGCCAGGAATTAAGAGGGCTTGATGCCATGATTTTGCTTTTCTTAATGTTGAGTTTCAAGCCAACTTTTGCACTCTCCTTCTTCACTTGCATCGAGAGAGACATGGTTAACTATTAGTACATAGGACAACTGAAAGGGTTTCATTTGAGTTAATGTATGTCTTGCTTTGCAATGTGAACATTCTGGGGATAATTTTATTTGCCTGCATACCCAAAGTTGCAGATCTATAAGACAAGGCAGACAGATTTCCCCACTTTTATTTCCCTGTGAAAGCAAGGTGCTTAGGGATTTCAGTTGTTCTCACCCCCAGATGTTAGTGAGAGATAACCCAAGTCAAGAAACCCTTCAAAATATTCAGAGAGCTTCTAGGAGGGAAGGTTTGCAATGTCCAATATTTACCTCTCATCATCCCAGTTGAGGGGATAGAGCTTGGATTAAGGAGACTGAATACATATTAATGTATAAATGTAGAAGAAATAAAAAAGGAGTAACATACTGTATACAATGGAATTAAACTGAGGAGAGTTATCAATACTGAAAAAAAAAATGGACAGAACTGCAAAACATAAAAAGGATGAATTGTAACCAGAGATTGCCACAAGAAGTTGGCACAAAGAAGAGGGAGTCAAGCTATTCTCCAAACCCCCTGAGGGCAGGAGAAGAAGCAATGGATAGAAACTGATCAAAGAGAGAAGCAACCTAGAACAAAGGAGAAACTTGTTGACAGTTAGAACAAGTAATCAGTGGAACAACTTGCCTCCAGAAGTTGTGAATGCTCCAACACTGGATGTTTTCAAGAAGAGATTGGACAACCATTTGTCTGAAATGGTATAGGGTTTCCTGCCTGAGCAGGAGGTTGGACTAGAAGACCTCCCAGGTCCCTTCCAACTCTGTTATTCTACTCTATTCTGTAGGACATCAATCCATGTTTCTACCTTTAAATAAATCTAAACTTTTTAAAAAGTACCCAGTTTCAAATACTGACCGCAGATTGTTTCTTTTTTCCCTACCAAACTGTCAACCAGGTTCCACACTGCATATTCCAAGACCAGTCCTGCACTTCCACTTGCCATCATGGAGATTTATTGGCTGCTCCAATTATACCAATTTAGCTTTCTGTAAGGAACTCAATTTGAATAGCTGCTCTGATGAGAAGGTTTTTGCTTGGCCTCAGATTCACTTCCTCTCACTGTGTCTCTAGCACAGTAATAAACTGCCGTGTCTTCCAGTTTCAGACTGTCCATTTGCAAATACAGCTGGCTTCGGGAATCATCCCTGGAGATGGTGAAGCGTCCCTTGACTCCGTCCGAGTAGCGTATTGGAGATGAAGATGTACCGATCTCTGCCACCCATTCCAGTCCTTTTCCTGGAGCCTGTCTCACCCAGTCCATGTAATAGCTGCTGAAGGTGAATCCAGAGGCTTGGCAGGAGAGACGGATGGACCCTCCAGGTCTTCTCACACCCCCTCCAGATTCCACCAACTGGATCTCAGATTGAACACCTAAAAAGAAAGGTGTATCAATAAACTCTCCAGTATACAAGAATTAAAAACTGAATACCTAGAGAGGAAACAATTACCTCTGAGGAATGCTAATAGGGATACCATGTTTAGCCACAGAGTCATAGAATTCAGTA